GGGTCTCGCACGTGTGCTCTACCGGCTGGTGTGCGGACAGGGGGGCGTTGTAGGGCTCCACCACCGTGTCCGAGACCTTGGGCGACGGCACCACGCTGAAGGTGTTCATGATGCGGTCGGGGTACTCCTCCCGGATCTTGCTGATCAGCAGCGTGCCCATGCCCGAGCCGGTGCCGCCGCCCAGCGAGTGGGTCAGCTGGAAGCCCTGCAGGCAGTCACAGCTCTCTGCCTCCTTCCTCACCACGTCCAGCACAGAGTCCACCAGCTCGGCCCCCTCTGTGTAGTGCCCCTTGGCCCAGTTGTTACCAGCTCCGCTCTGGCCTGTGGGGGTGGGGTGGAGGGGAAGAAGCCACAAGCATTGGGCTAAGGCACTGGGGAACCAGCTGCTCCTTGGCCAGCCATGCCCCCAAATTACCTCCAATGGAGTCCCCTGGGGGACACATGCCAATTCCCCCAATGGGCTAAGGGGAACATCAGGTCCTCTGTTGAGTTAGACTCACAGATATTGGGGGGGGAAGGAGGAGGGGAGAAAGATGCCACGTTACTATGGCATTTAAGCCTCCAATTGTTAGACCAGGGGAACCTAACAGGCCACCGCTCTGCGAATGTGGCCACGGCTGAGGGACGCACCTCTAGCTCCAAACAGTCAACTGAAGTCAGCTGGGTCCCCCAGCACATGCGCCACCCCCCCAGATCAGACAAGGCCCATCTCCAAGTCATAACCCGCTGGCCACTCCAAAATTTAGGTGGCGGGGACTGTCTGCAGGTTGCTACTAGGCCCAATCTGGACTCAGTTGAGTAGACGAAGCCTAGAAACTCTGGTTCAGACTCTAGACGCGACCCCACTCTTGTTGCTACACATGGGCCAAGATCGGGGGCCTCAACCACTGGTGCCATGGCTGACGCAACCCAACCCAAGTGGCTGCTGGGTAATTCACAGTCACGCACAGCCAATCGCAGGGCCCCAGCAGACACGGCACGGAGGGACAATGGGAATCTTACCGAAGACGAAGTTGTCTGGTCGAAAGATCTGGCCGAAGGGACCGGAACGGACAGAGTCCATGGTGCCTGGTTCCAAATCGACCAAGATGGCGCGAGGGACATATTTACCACCTAGAGGGGGAGCGAGAAGAGTCTCAGCAGGGACGGGTCAATCAAACCAAGAGGCAGCAGGAAAGTCTTAGGGGGCCTGGGTTATCCAGGAGGAGGAATTTGGGGCTGATTCAAAGCCATGGGTGCAGAGGGATCCCCGCAGCCATTAGATGCTAATGCACTGAAAGGGTTTGGCCTCAGCCATGTAGGAAGAAAGGGGGGGGCCTAGCCTAGCCTTTGGGGCATCTAGAAGGGGGGTGCCCTCGATCAGACCAACCCACACACGGCATGGGGAGTGGAACAGCCTGGACCAGGACCAAGCCACAGAGTATTTGTGGGGAAGGATCCCTGGACTCTCCCATTCCCTGCATATAGGGTAGGGGGACTGGCTCAAACCATGGGAACACGTGGGGGGGACCAGACCAAACCATGTATATTTATAGGGGGAGCACTCAGACCACCCCAATCTCCACATACCAAACCATGGGTGTTTGTGGGGGGAATCTCGGACCAGCCAACGCTCCCTAGGTAAAAGGGTGTCATGTCGCCCCCCCAAGCAGTACCTGTGGCCTCGTTGTAATAGACGCTGATGCGGTCGAGCTGCAGGTCGCTGTCGCCGTGGTAGGTGCCGGTGGGGTCGATGCCATGTTCGTCACTGATCACCTCCCAGAACTAGGGGCGACAGCAAGGGGGGGTGTCATTGGGACGGCTGCTTCCCCCCACTCCTGTACCAGCCATCCCTCCCCTGAGGGGACACTGCTCTTCTCTGGGGGGGGAACCCAGCTAGCGCGGCAGCTGCCAGCCCAATGGGGGCTACCCCACATCTAAGCCCCACCTGGCACATCCCCATTAACTCTGCCATCCCCGGCATACAACGGGCACATGATGGTGCCACGCCCACCATGCGCAGCCAGCCAGAGCCAGCAGCGCCCCCTACAGGGGGTCACAGCCTGGTCCAGAAACAGGGGCTTCCCCTAGGACTGCACATCCCCCCCCCTCCCCTCCCCTCCCCTCCAGCCAGCCATGTGGGGGAAGCAACACACCACACAGGCCAGACTGCCCCCAGTGGCAGAGGGACCCCATGAAAGTTTGAGGTGCTGCTCTGACCCCCGGGAGAGGGGGTATTATGAGGTCCTCTCCCCCCCTCCATGCCCATCCCTAGGTTGGGGTGAGAAGAGACCCCTTGAGCATGGGGGGGAGGGGAGAAATCAGGGTAGGGTCCACCCCCCACCACAGCTAGTCCTACCCCAGCCATATCTCTGGTGCTCTGGTGTCCCCAGTGCTGGGGAGATTGGGACACGGGGGGTGGGAGGAGAGGCAGGCACTGGTGTGCATATGCAAGGAACCTGTCCCCCTGCCCTTCCCCCCTGGACACAGCCCTCTCGCCCCACCCCCACCGGGGCTTGTGACAAAGTAAACCCCCCAGGGTCACCCTCTGACCAGCAGCGGCCTCCCGGTTGGGCTGCTTTACCCTTTGTCCAGGGGCGAGAGAAACCCCAGCAGTCCCTGTCCCTCCCCACGCTCAGCTGTGGTCTCAGCTCCCACAGGGCTCTGCTCTGCCTTGCC